AAGACAATGCTCATCACATTCTTTGATAGCAAAGGTATTATCCACAAAGAGTTTGTTCCAACTGGCCAAACAATTACTGGTGCATATTATCTCGAAGTTTTAAAGCGATTGTTGGGCAGAATTCATCGTATTCGCCTCGAATATCGTGATCCAGAAAATTGGTCTTTGTTGCATGATAATGCACCGAGTCACACTTCATTGATTGCCCGTCAATGTTTGGCTCGAAATCGTGTTCTGTGTTAAACCATCCACCGTATTCACCTGATTTGGCTCCCTGCGACTTCTCATTATTCCCAAAATTGAAATTGAAATTGAAAGGACGCTTTTTTGATAACATTCCGACCATCCAATCAGCTTCTACACAGGCACTAGAGGCAATTCCGCAAACTGAGCTAGAACATGCATTTGAATCACTATTGAATCGCTGTAACAAGTATTGAAACCAGAGGAGAATATTTTGAATAATAAAATCAAAAAATATGCATATTGTTGTTTCAATTATAATTTTCAGGCCCTGTCCGGGAACATATTTATCGCACTGTGTATAATTAACATATATGAAAAATTTTGAAAAATGTAGATTTTTTGAGAAATGTTCCAATAAAAAAAATGTGAGATAGTTAAATTGAAATTATATAGAAATTCTGAAAAATTATATAAAAAATCTTAAAAAAAATTTTCACCAGGGGTTACTTGCACTTTTTGCACTCAACACTCTCGCTTTCTTTTTTTTTAACTTTTGAGTATATATACAGTGAGTGCAAAAAATATTCGTACAGAGAAAATATTTTTTAAAAAGCTTTATTTTTAAAAAGTAAGTAAATATTGGGTCATCTAAAAAGTATCCGCGGTTTTTAGATGACCCAATTTAGATTATCCAACGAGAAATCAGTTGATGTCGAATCAATAGAGATACAATAATTTCAACATTAATTTGATGTCGATTCAATTCGACATTTAATTGACGATCATTGATCGCGTTTAACGGACTCGATAGTTGAGTGAGCGCTCGCTACTGGAGAGCCTCAGGAAAGAGTAGCAAATTGCATCATGAGACCCGTCTCCTCTGATTGGACATGGGCATCAAAGCTTCATAGGCATGAAAGAGATTAGAGAAAACTGGTCACGTGACCCCCATCCTGATTGGACATGAGCATTTACGTGATGTGATTTGCCACTCTTTTCTTGTGAGGCTCTCTATTCGCTACTATTGATATTGTATTCTTTCAAATCTAAAATGCTGATTGGATGATCTAAAAGAATACACCAATAACAGTGAGCGCTCACTTAACTGTTGAATCCGCTGAATGCAGTTGCAGTCATTTCTTGCTGGGTAATTAACAATTTATTTATAAAGAATAAAATAGACTGTATGTTTCTTAAAATTACATATATCAAAAAGATGTGTATTAATTATAGAAAATATACCATTTGAAAAATAAGCAAAAATTAAAAATTGTATTGTTTGGATGTTTAAAAAGTATTTGTATGTCACCGATAAGATACTGTTAAAGACCGTCAACTGGGTAAATTTTCGGTAGTATAAAAAGGGCCCCAAGAGCTTGCAAGTAATTAAAGAACGCTGACATTATCGACAATTGATATAAATTTGCTATTGTTAACATAAACATTTGGCTCATACATTATTAAATTTATGATTTTTTATTACATAAATGTTCCATAAATAAATATGCATACTTATAAAGCTATAATATCCTATATATTACAATTTTTTCTCTACAGGTATCATCTCTATTGATAATCAAACTTAGACGATAACACTGAAATCACAACTTTAAAAAAAAATTGAGTATTATTGAGTTCTAAATGTATAAATACGACTACTAAACTAATAAATCATAAAATTAATACAATATTATCAGTTTTTAATTCTTAATTACTTCAATATTTACAAGAACGCAAATTCCCGTAAGGATATCGGGCTTTAATAGTACATCGTCGGTGATACAGTCAAGAAATTTGGCTTCTAATATCAGAAATACATGTAAAGCAATACTTGCTCATTTATGTTAGAACAGAATATATTCATTGTCTAAAATTGCTAATTAATGTTTATTTTATTTTCTACAAATAATGCTTTTTTTTTATAAAAAATTTTCTCGTACAAATACTTTTTATATTCACTATATATATTGGGACATCTAAAAAGTATCCGCGGTACTTTGTCACTAGATATATGATGTATATATTGGGTCATCTAAAAAGTATTCGCAGTTTTTTGTCACTAGATGTGTGTTGATGGTCATATATCTATTGACAAAGTACCGCGGATACTTTTTAGATAACCCAATATATATCTTATTTTAAGTGCAAAAATTTTTGGAAATTTCAAAAATTTGCGAATAAAGGATCAATTGTATATCTCGAAATGATGTGAACATTACAAAAATGTGCAAATTTACTAAAATATTTATAATTTAATTGGTCAATATCTAGTGAATTTGCTTTTGTAATTTTTACTTCATTTCAAAATACACAATCGATTCTCAGGGCTGCGTTCGAATTCTCACCTGGGTGCTCCCCGAATGTTATATTATTCTTGTTGTTTACCGAACGTTAAACAAGGATGATATGACACCCGAGGAGCACTCGGGTGGGAATCCGAACGCAGCCCTAAGGGTCGATTATATTGTATATTTTGAAATAAAGTAAAAAGTATAAAAGTGAGCAAATTTACTAGAATATTTATAATTTAATTGGTATTCAATACCTAGTAACCTTTGCTCACTTTTCTAATTTTTATCTCATTTCAAAATCTACAATTGACCCACAGAAAGTTTCCTTAGGAAACGAGGTGATATTTACAAAAGCGAGTAAATTTATTAGAATATTTGTAATTGGTCTGTTCGACTTGCTTACACGTAAAATGAGATAGATATATATTTGGCGCTGAAAAGAGAGAAAACGAAGATACTAGTGTAAAAAATGTAAGCAAGTTGAACAGACCTAATTTTATTCAGTTATAATATTTATAATTTCAATACTTAATAAATTTGCTTATTTTGTAATTTACATTTTAATAATGAAGTTAATTATAGATTTTTAAGTAAGATGAAAATCACAAAAATGAGCAAGTTCACTCAAATGCATACAAATTTTTGAAATTTTCAGAAATTAAACATAAAACTCTATCTCTTTCCATTTTTCTTGTCCTTAAAAAGAAAAAATGAGTGAAAAAGGAAAAATGAATTTTATGCGTATCGAGCCAATCGAGCCAAAGCGATAAAAAAGTCACGAATTCACCAATGACAATTCAAGTTTCTCACTGCCAGTTGCTTAATAAAATGCAGTTGGTAGAAGTGAGACCAACAGAAATGCCAACATTACAACATCTGCGCCATCTCGACGAGAATGACGAGATGACGCGTCGTTCAGCACCGGGCGAAAGAAAAAGGCAAAAAAGAGAAAAGAAAAAAGAAAAAAACATCCCCGGACAGGAAGTGATCCGAATGCGACGACACAAGCACAGAGATAACGATTTCCACAGCCTCGTCGTGTCCATCGCAAATCACAAAGTTTCAGTCGATCCGTGGCCATCAAATTGACAATCATATTTTCGTCCCAAGGACGCGCGATCGCGTTTCGAAGATGGCGCCGCTTCTACCTCTCGTCATACAACCGGAAGTGCCGCCTCGTTGAGACTCGGAACACAATTCTCTCGCGCGACGAACGTCGATGTTCGCCGTGTCGCGGGCGCGGAAAAATCCTGCGGCAACGATCGAGTGAAAAAAACTTATCGAAGATCCATCGTCGCGCATCCTAGGGACACTCGCGACAGTCGCTCGGCTGACCAGACTTTTCCTGTGCCGAAAAAATATACCCCCCCGAAAAGGAAAATATCGTCCCACGTGGGGACTCGTTTAATTACAAGTTACGTTGTTTGGATATGCGTCTGTCCGGCTGATTTTTCACGCGGAAGGATGGTGCAGGTGAGTGGCGTGTCGTCCGCGCGTTATCGCCGCGCGATGCGGCCGGGCCGCGCGATATCCGCCGCGTTTTTCTGCCCGTGTCGCCGTCGGGAATTTTTGATTGTTTTTTTTTTCCCTCCGCTGTCATCCATTAGTAAATAGGAAAGATGGCAGCAGATTATTGCGCTTTTTTCCCCCGTGCCTTCGGTCCCGGGCGGACATTTTTCCCGGGTCACCGCAGCGGCCCGGGGCGAGTTTCGCGACGTAATTACCGTCGAAATCGCCCGCCGAGCGCGTTTCCACGCACGGGACACGCCGCGCGGCCACCGTTTCCCTTCCTTTCTTTTTGAATGAAAGCTCGCGAGTCGCGATCGCCGGGACGTACGCATTGCCCGCACGGGACCGCCGCGTTCCGCGCGAGACTCGCCGCTCGCGTGGGCGTTTCGCCAGGAGAACGTCCCGGCGGTTTCGTGCCTTCGCTTAACCTCGCCATCGCGCGGGAAAGTGTTCGTGACACGTAAATAAACGACGTGACGCGCTCTGATTCTTTCGCGATCGCATCGGGAGTCTCGACGATGATCGTAAGATTCGGAAATTATTGCTATTTTTTTTAGGGTGGTCTTGGTTTCCATCAAGAATTATTTTATCTTGTCACAAAGTATATTTTATTCGATAGTCGTCCTGGCAACGTCCCTAGGAAATTCATAAGAATGTCCTTAGGATGTTTGAAGGATGTACTTATAAAATTGTTCAAAAGACACAGGAACTTCTTCTTAGGATGTTTAGATGATATAGAGACCCATACTTGAATGTCTTTCATTTACGTATGGGCATCCTGGGAACATCCATAGGATATTCAGAGGAGATTTAGAGAATCTTCTGAATATCTGTTAGATCTTGAAGGTCTGTGTTTTTTGGAGATGTCCTTGGATATTCAGAGAATATAAAATGCATTCTTAAGATGTTCAAGAAACATAGGAATATTCTTAGAATGCCCTATGGATGTCTTTAAGATTTCCTCTGAAAGTCTGTTATATGGACTCGTCTAACATTGACAAGGATATAATGATTCACATATGAATGCTTTCCATGCTTGATAACACAAGTTGACGCTAGTATTGTTCTGCCTTTATTACTCGTTGAATGTCAAGAAAGATAGAACGATATCTGTGTGTCACTAAATGGAAAGCATCTTGCATTATATCGTGTCGTTTGTGTTTCTTGTTAAAAAATGTCTTTAATTATTTTCTAATAATCTGTTTTCTTTTGTAGGCTATCGACGAGATGGAGCAGAGGGACCTCCCACAGGCGTTTCGCCTGCTGGGAGAGATGAATGCCAACGTCCTCCAGGTGAACCAGGTTGTGGACAATATGCTGATGCGAGTGAAGAATGGCGAGATGTCGACGGACAAAGGCCTCAGCTTCCTGGAGATGAAGTATCACATGCTGCTCTCGTATCTCATCAACCTGACCTACGTCGTCCTGAGAAAATGTTCTGGCGAACGCATTGAGGGTGACCCATCGATCGACCGTATGATCGAGATTAGGACTGTCCTAGAGAAAATCCGACCAATAGACCACAAGCTTAAGTACCAAATAGATAAACTCGTCAAGACAGCGGTGACCGGCACCATCAACAGTGACGATCCCAGTAACTTCAGGGCAAATCCTGATGCACTGGTCGCCAAGCTCGACAGCGAGGACTCTGATAGTGGTCAGGAGGAGGATGAAGACGATGTCAAATCAACGCAACAGCCTAGGAAATCTAACGTTTATGTACCGCCAAAACTCGCTGCGGTGCATTATGGTCAGTTCTGGATCATGAGAAAATTTTTAGCTTTATATATCACATAGAGACGATATTTAATTTGTTAACATTTTCCATATGATGGCAATATAATTTTACATGGTTCATTTCATTTCTGAACTAATCTTAAATTTGTTTTTGGAAAGAACTGTATCCAGTTTATGTTCCTTGCTGGAAAGCTTTCATAATTTGTATTTATTGAATAACGTGTACTTCACTAACGATTAAAAAAAATTACAAGATTAAAAGGAAGAAAGTTTGAGGCACCATTATTGCATCATTATGTATTCATGTATAATATAAATAATTATTCTAGAACTATATTTCTTTTTCTAGTGAAAATAATTGAATGTCTGAAAGTCCAGCATGGGATAGCAGGGAATATGTGACAATTTAAGCATCCAATTTTATGGGTTGCTTAAATTGTTTCCTTTCTTGTTTGCTCGTTGATCCTCGAATCTTTTAATTTCTCCAGATGGCGACGAAACAATGGCGGAGAAGATCCGCAAGGCCGGCGAGAGAGCTCGTAGACGCGCCGTGTCGAATACAGTGCTGCGGGAACTGAAGGAGGAATATCTGGATGCGCCTGTGGAAGACAGTCAGGGTCTGGGCGAGAAGCGAGCGATTCTGGTGCGCGAGGACAAGCGGAAGATCGAGTACGAGGAGAATTACATGACGCGTTTGCCCGTCACCAAGCAAGAGAAGCACAGACGTCGCCAGATGACGACCCTGGGCACTCTCGGCGACGAGATCACTACTTTTGGAGAGTCATCCACCAAGACCGCCAAGAAGAGAAAAGCTCAGAGGAAGGGCAAGGCTAAAAAAAGTAAGAGATTTTCTGTGCGATGTTTTTAGCTCCATGCAAACTGTGTGTCAGGATGCTAAAATCGAGAATTCACATTTTAGGTTTCAAGAAAAAACGGCATCATTAAGAACATGATGAAGAAACGGCTCTGGGACTTTGGATGAGATCTCGGAGTTTCATACAGCATTAACGATTAAGGTAAAAGGTAAAAAAAAAGAAAAATAAATTTACTCGACTTCTTCTTCGAAACAAAAGCAGATGCCACTAATACTCGTTATTAAGTTAAGCTAAAGATAACATCGTAACATCTAGTAATAAAAAAAAAATGACAACGTGTGTCGACGGTGGAGTAAAAATAGCACGATGGTAATTTATTACTGTATAAGACATACTAATGGTCGTGTAATTGATAATTCTAGTTAATAATGATTTTAATCTTTAACTGTTGTCTGAAAGATCAATTTTGATCTGTGGAGTTAAGAGACGAGATCCATCGAGAAAATCGGTATTTCACGTGAGTGTGAACGCGATGAGGAACAACGTCAAAGTAACGATGGCACATACGAGCTTAATGGAAATTATGTGTCGTAATAGCGTAATATTGTATTGTAATGTTGGATCGAGTAGCGAACTTAACGGCTCCAGGATTGAAAATTGTGAATTACACGTAAAAGTTGAAAAGCAGAACATTTCTCTGCTTTATTTTGAAATATTCTCCGGCTACATAGGAACGATGGAAGGAAGGAGGAAATCAGTAAAAAACATAGCAGGAGAGACGATATTGAATTAATTGTTAACAAAAAGCGTAAAAATCACAAGACATTCACAGCAAAAACGCGCAGAAGTTACAAAACTTGAGATTTAGAAAGAAAAAAAAAGACAAAAGAGGAAAAAATCTTTAGAAACTGCACGCACTCGGCGCAACTTCTGAGAATAAATTTTGGAAAGCACTTTGGAAAAACAAGCGAAAAAAAGAGGAAAAAGAGAAGCAAAAACGATATTTCGTTGATATCGCATGTCTTAGGATTTTCTCGCTGTCTTAGAGTAGTGAAGTAGTTACTAGTTTTACTATATTATATGTATGTTTCGTTTGTGTTTTTCCCCTGGTGAAACTGTTGAGGCTATTACAAACATTTGAATGTGAGTCATGTTTTTACGTTAAGTCTCATTTGTCTTTTTATTATTACAATGTGCTTGTGCATTGTATATCTGTTGTTTTTGCGTTGGTTTTAAGTCGTTAAACTTATATTGATAGTAATATAAGGATAACACGAGCGTGTCAAAATTCAAAATTGTCGTCATGTTCTCAGATTTGATTTCCATTGACCGTTTATTTCATTTCTCAGAGGGAGAGAGAGGGGGAGCTTGGCATATTACACAGTAACGGATAGAAAGAACGAAGGAACGAACGAACGAAGACTTCGGGCGAATATCACTTCTGCAAGCTTGATAAATAGGAATATTTGTACAATCAAATCGGGGGATTGAGAATCGCATTATCGATTGTAATTCTTCGCCCCTTAAATAGGTTACATTTTTTTAACGTTTTTAGACGCGGGACTTCTTCACGACGTCCCAGTGAAAGATGTTCCTTTAACGTACTCTTTAAATTCTTTGATATTAAATCTCACTTGAAAGAGTGAAAATTGAGCCAGTCTTGAAAAAGCCCAGGCTTCGCTAATAGAGAGCTAAGATTAACTTCACATTCTCGGTTTAACTTACTATTTATTCTTAATTCTATAAACTCTAGAATTAGGCAAAGGGTAAATTGGACCGTTGAATTAAAGTTGATCTCACGTTGGTGAAACTGGATCTAAGAGTGAGATTTCACTTTTCAGTGGGATTCATTCTAAAAGTTTTAGAGAGTAGCGAAATTGAGCGACACATATTGTTCTATGCAGAGAGTACATGTGTTAGATATATACGTTACTATGTAGCCACATTGCTCACTCCGTGCAGAAGTGATCCCACCCTCCCAGTTTGCCCTTCCCCCCTGCGAGAGAGGCAACTTAACTCGGTTCGCTTGCGTATGCTGGCCAAGGGCTCAACCATCCATAGATATTATATTTTTTACAGAAGTGTTCATAGATTGAGTCAACTTGGCGCGGCGCCGACGATGTGTCGCACGCCTCCCCCTCTCCTCGACGATCTGTGAAGACGATTAATTAAAGAAAAAAAAAAGAAAAAATGTGATAATGATTATTCATGAAGTAATAGTTAAAGAGAAACTTAAACAAAATAGCACAATCGCTGGGCATTATTTACAAAGTGCTAGCAAGCCTAATGTCAGCAGCCTTGTCGTATTTGGTATTTAAAAAAAAAATGAAGTTGAAAAACGCCGAATTGCGGACGGATTTTTTGCGGAACATCCGAACGTTTTCTGGAAAGATGAGCACACACACACACACATACATACACACGTGCGCTCGTTATCGATACGGGATTAATTCTTGGGTGCGCGTGTGGGGAGAGAGAGAGAGAGAGAGAGAGAGAGAGAGAGAGAAGAGGAAAGGAAGAAAAATCGAGATATAGAAGTCTCGATGGAATTTGTCCGACATTCGGCTTCCTCATACTCCATTGCATAGACGATAATTTCGGAAGCACACCTACGGCCGGCGCGAACTACGAGCTTGGAAAAATAATATATACCGATCGATACACTTTCATAATCGCCTGTCAGATTACTGCCGATAATGATATTTTGCAATAGGCCTGCAAACATTTTGCACTCGTATACTCCACGAGACATATACACCGGACTTTTTTATACGTATATACGTATTCTAAACGACAAAGAACAACTCCGGGCTCGCAGTCGGAAGTGCGGTAGGTGTGCGAAGGAGTATTCATACGACATACACAACATATCCACACACGCAACATATAGCAGCAAGGTAATAGGATTACATTGAATACACTACCTCAAATCAATAGTAATATGGATTTACAGTAATAACGGGAAAAAAAAAGCGAATCCGCGGTGGTCACGCTCTGCGCCCCCGTTGTTGTTACGAGCCTCGATTCTTTACAGGGTCGCCGACGTTTTTTTACGGGATATATTTCCACCGAAACTTTGTTGAAGGATGTATGTATAGTGGATTTATTCGCCTTAAATATTCTCACCTATCTATATTAACCCTGGCAGACGCAGGTGTGATTTTATAGAGAATGATAAACGTCTTGCGATTCTGCGACGGAAATCTATTATAGAAGAAAAAGGGTAAATATGTTATCGAGGTCATGACTTAACTAATTCAAAGATAGTCGCTGCTCGTTGTTTATTAAAAAGTTAAAGATGCAAAAATAGAGTATAGTTTTCTGATACTAAAATGAAAACAAAGAGAAGCTACAATGTAAAATATTTCTATATAGCGTTGATGGAGGGATTGGGGCAGGAGGGTGGTGAAACTGCTCCTTTACTTATATTAATAACTTCTAATTGACAAAAACACAGGAATTAGATATTAGATTGAATTGTGAAAAAAAATATGGATGAATTTTTATTATTGGCAGCAATATACGTTATGGTTTTGTTATATAATGCCTACCTTGTGTAAAGGTCTGTCTAATCTTTTAAATTTTTATTATATTGTAGATGAAGATTTAATTTAAAACATAAATGTGGCTATAAAGTCCACATGTCGAAAAACGATGTGTCCGACAAATTGTGTTAACTTTTTAATAAATAACGAACGACGATTAAAATCTTGTGAAATCTTACTTAGACATATTTCAAGATCATTGATTTTTGAAGGAGTTGATCTTATAAATATTTATCAGAAGAAGAATTATAGATGAGGATCTAGAACAGATTTGTATTCCGTTTTGTTAATTTGAACTGTCTATAATACAGGAATACAGTTGACGTTTAAATTTATTTATCTATATTCCATCATCAGCACATTAGATAATTGAACGTGAAATTAGGATTAGATGATTGAGCGTTGGTTTCATACATTTAGGGGATCCATCGGATCTCTGCCCGTGTTTTCCAGGGTTATGAGGAAAGGACCTACAAATGTACAAATATACTATATTAGGGAAATATTGCGAGGGCGTTGCCGCTGCGGACCTTTAAAAGAGTAGTCCTTCAAATCCAACAACGCTGCCGAATGCCGAACTGAAAAAAAAAAGAAAAAGAAAGAAAGAAAAGTATCAAGAAGTATCTTTGCAGCAGAGACGGAATGATGATAGGGATGATTTATTGACTACATTCATAGTCTTTGAAGAGTAACGACGTTTGATTTATATATTGGTGAATTTTTCTGTAATTTTATGTACAACTATATAAAATGACAATTCTCAACGTGTGAACGAAAGAAATTGCGAGAACGGAGAGCGAAAGAGAGAAATAAAGGGTGCGATAGAGAAAGAAAGAACGTGAGAGAGAAAGTTTACCTTGTACATTTACAAATTGTGGTTATTACGAATGAATTATTATGATTATTAATTATTATTATTATCACGGATTATACTATGATTATTATTATCATGTAGAATGCTTCTTACTGACTGAATAAAATGTTTTCAATGTCTAAGATTGCCATCTTCCCAATATACAAATTTTATTATATTTCTTTAATACTTACGTAATATTCTTACATGATATTAAGACATCAGATAATTTATTATGCATTCTGAGTTCTTTTATTATCGCAGTCTCTAAAAAGATCCTAAATTATATCTTAGAAATTGTAAACTTGAATTAGAAAAAAAATTGATAAAAGAAATAATACTTTCATTATATTTTTTTTGTTTCCTGTATCCATTTTGTTATATTTTCAAGAATCTGTAATTATGCATATTGATTAAAATTTTTATTTTTGTCTCACTATTATTTTTTTTCATTATTTTTATCTTTCAAAACGAAAAATTAAAACAAGGAACGGCATTTTCTCATCTCGAGATGTAGGATAATTGCGTTATCTGACGCTATTTTAATTCCGAATAATGGATGTATTCACGTTTTTTAAATCCTCAAGAACAAGATAAATATATATTTGAACGTTGGAAAGAAAGAAAGCGAAAATACTGAGTGTAAGTAAAGCAAACAGACCAAGTCTAGTGATTTTAGCTTTGTTGTGGCGCTAGCGCCATCTGCAGGTCCATTTTCGAATCTCGTCCATGCAGATGTATTTCCTGTGGTTTACGACCGTTTGCCACGCTTCCGAATAATTATTTACAGCAATCTAGTTAATTAAAAAAATAGAGATTATACATTTTCTATTTATAGCGAAATGCAACTTTAAGAACAGTCGGTTAAACAGTTAAATAGTTACGTTTACGTTAATATTTTTCTATTGTTTTGCATCTTTTAATAGGTTTATTGCGGTTGACATGTTGCCAAATAACATGTTTAACAACCGAAATTTTATGTGTCACGTTCTTCCTGAACAAATTTATACGCATTTCGCATTATGGGTTGAAGTGTAAGTCGGATTCATCCTTCCATCGATGTTACAAGGTAAAATTAATCTTCGACTCTATGAAATTTATTTAAAATATCAGTAATCTCCTGTGTGTGATCATTAATTTTTTTATATTGATATTTATATTTATTATTTTAATTGTCTTTTCTTGGCAATTTAAGCTGAAGTAAATAAGTTTTATTCTATTATTTAAAGCAGAATAGAAGAGATAAATCTCTTGTGTATGTGTGATCATTATTTTTTTACATTAATTATTTTCATTGTCTTTTTTTGGCATTTTAAGCTGAAGTAGATAAGTTTTATTCTACTATTTTAAGCAGAATAGAAGAGATGAATTTCTTGTGTGTAATCTTATTTTTTAATATTAATTATAATTATTTCTTAGCCATGTAAGTTGAAGTAAATAGATTCTATTCTATTCTACTGTTTTAATTAATTATTATTTGCTTTTTTAAGCACGTTACTATCAAGGACTAGCTGCTCATTGATATACTAGTAGAGAACATTGTAGAGAGAAACATGGACCAAATCATTGATATAGACGATGTCGAGACTGGGATGCGCTCTTCCAAGAGTTCGTGGATACCCTTTGGTTGTATCAGCTCAAACTCAATATGCTACGTCGTGATTACAATTGCGACTCTGGCCTTCCTCGGCACCATCGTCTTCATCTGCAGGGACTACATAAAGCTGCTGCTCTACTGGATCGAGCATCAGAATGCTTGGATCATCGCTGTGATCTTCATAGGTCTGTTCACGGTGGTGTCGTTCCCGATTGTGATTGGCTATCTGTTCCTCATTGTCGCCAGTGGCTACCTGTTCGGTGTGATACGCGGCATGGCGATTGTCATACTCTCTGCTAATCTTGGCATAGCGATTGCCCATGTCACTCTGGGCCTACTGTCCACCAGGCTACCGATTGGTGCCCTCCTGCAGAGTGACACTGCGAGAGCGATACTTCGCGTGATATCCGGGTCCCAAGCTTTCAAGATCGTCCTGTTCGCGCGGCTCACCCCGATTCCGTTCGGTCTTCAGAACACTATTTTTGCAGTACGTACTGTAGAACGTTCATCGTACACAGAGTATATGCTTAATGTGATCAGATATTTTTGGATCTAAAGTGGGAAATTTTGATTACTTTTCGTTTAGGAGACTCAATTCTTACAAGATAACTTCTGAATCTTTTTTTTCCAATGTGAAAAAAAAGAGGAAAAATGATCCAAGAAATTCAATTAAAGAGACAATTCAATTAAATAAATCTAGTAACTATATTACTTTGGCTGCTTTCTTTTTAAGAAAAAGACAGTTGATATAAATGATTCTATCTTATTATTTATTAATGTCATAGAACTCTGATCACATTAAGTATCTCTCACATGTAACTCATGACAATGTTATGTATATTTATATGTATGATTAGGTCAGTAACATAGGTGGTTTTCATTACCACGTAGCCAGTGCGATAGGTTTATTACCTGCCCAACTGGTCAACGTTTATTTAGGCAGCAGTCTGAGGTCGATGCAGGATGTATTGGAGGATAGATCCACGGCGGCGACTGGCTACGTAGTATTTTGCTTCCAGGTGCGTCGAATGTCCTCAAACTTTCACAGAAGTAATTAAAGTAATAATTTTTTTCTCGCTGTGTGTTGTAGATATTAGTAGGAGTCTCGCTGATGGTTTATATTGTACAGAAAGCACGAAAGGAGCTTCAGTTGACGTTGTTCGAGGCCGATCTCGCGTCCATGGCGAATTCCCCTCATTACATTCTGGACGGACTACCAGACTCCAAGATAATTTTAACGAATCTAATTGCGTAATTTTTTTTTTATGAACGTTACAAGCATTTTTGACAATTCTTTTATACAATCAACAGCTCTGTTTTCTTTCTCCAGTTATTATATTTCTAACATTATTATTCTGTGTATCTTCCAGAAGTGATTTTATTAAGACTTATTGATGGTGCTTTCAAAAATTTAGACTCTTGAATGACATTATGCAGGAATCTGTTATCGGAGATAATACGTATTAAGTCTTACCAAAGCTAACGTGATTTTAGTACCAAACAAAGCTCATAGAGCATGCGACGCGTGCATGTATATTTTGTCTAAACAAATGGATGAAACGAAGAGTTCACGGAACTGCAAATCCAATGTATAAAACTTCCTTGCAATAAGAGCATACTAATTTATATATTGCTCATATATATATATATATATATATATATATATATATATATATATATATATATATATATATATATATATATACCTAAATCTAAGATTAATGATAGAGACTGAAACTTTACTATTTTACTTTATTTATACACTTTTTGCAATGTTATTGATCAATTATTGAGGTGTGTTTGAGGAGACACTCTACTATCGCTATTTGCCATTTTAATTTTATTGTTCTCCAGATAAGTGTGTCTTAGTAAAATCATGCAAATCTATGATTGCTTATGATAATAAGACTTGTGTATTTATTTTAATTTCGAATATATCGACATTGTATAAACACAGGCAATAATGAATATGTGTATTGCTAGCAATTAACGTCAAGGTAGCAGCATCAAAGATTCTTTGCATTGTTGGCAATATGATAGTATTGATGAGTGTGAGTCTATACATTATGGCAGCAGCACGAACTTTGATAGACTTTAAAGTTGTCGGCAAGTTGCTAAAGTCATATCATGAAGGCATCAACTTGTCAACAAATGTTGACAAGACCCCATTGCTGCAATTCTGGTAGTACATTTATTTGCGAGCAACTTGCCAACAAGACAAACACGTTGCTATCTGGATCATTAGACGTAAAACAAGGAGTGACTCAAATAGAATGACATAAATAAAGCGCTAATAGTGTCTCACCAAATGCATTCTTGGTTTCTCTCAGTTCTTTATAGTGCGAAACATGGTGGAAGAAATCCATCATAATTCGAAATATGTTGTTAATGATATTTAATGTGCATTTGTCTGTTGTTTTTTCTCGTGCAATATATTCCGTTTGTATATTATATTATAAAGAGATATACAGAGTTATATCCATATGTAATTCTGAAAGGAAAATGCGTCCCGATGATCGAAAAAAAAAAAAACGAATAAATTTCTCATTCTTTAACCGAAGTTTGCGTGTAAATAAATTTCAAACTCTTAGTCCTTTTCTCTCTGTCGTGTACTTTGTAAACATTTATTATCTGACTAGAACTTCGGATGTATGTATATCCACGTTTTTCATTTCGCTCGCGTCCCGAAGCTTGAAGAACTTCGCGTATGTTCCCTGTATATAGTGCGTACAAGTAATACCTGATCCTTCCAGCTTCGAGATGTCTAATATATCGTATTATGTATATTTAGAGGAATGGCGGCGTCGTCTCATTTTTATGCCTGCGTACACTTTCGTTTCGTCTCTCTACTCATATATTTTTTTCTGTATATATATATATACTCTCCGTTCATTTTTTTTACAATTCCGTTATCTAACTTAGCGTAACTGGAATCACATTATAAAAATCGTCTCGACGTTCCTTATCGTCATATAATCGTGTATGTACAAAGATAGAGCGCGGCCGGATACTCTTAGCTGCTATACAATTTTTGCTTCTACATCTTATAATATATATATAATTGCTCGTTCTCGCATACGCCTCTTTCCTCAGTAATGTTTTAAGCTCGCGAGAGGCTGATTATGTATATACAATGTACAATATGCATTTTAGCCGATGAACAATTAAATGTAACGTATCGACAATTGTGACACGGAACTAGATCGTGACTCGTCATCATAGATATTTACATGCTAACGAAAACTTAGTTCCTGAAATTTACTCGGATATCTTATCGCAGTTGATTTGTGGAGAGGAGCTTTTGGGGAAGTCAAAAGTGTGAAGTCGATCGTTAACTCGTGTCGACGTTTGCATGCAATAATAACACTTTAAGATTTCGCATCTCATTAGAAGGCATTTTCGGTGAATGAACTTATTCTTAGATTATGAACAAAAAACACGGGATAACGGAGCTGCTATATCTAAGAATAAATCATTTTACAAGAGAAAATGGATCGATATATTTACGGGATATTTCATTCAACGATTACATGAAATATCCCTTGTTGCTTTTAACAATGCGGGAGATACATAAGGAAGCAATTACTCAATTGGAAGGAATATTATGGTCAGTACAATAAAATTTCTATATTCAATTAATTATAATATTCGTATAAAAATTTCCTTATTTAATTAATTATAATTCAAAATCATAATCAATTAAATTAAGTAACGATTAAATTAATTATAATTTGAAATTATAATTAACTAAAGAAGGAAATTTTATATATAACTGACCATAACATTTTTTGTCTCTTCGTCACATCTCTCTGTAAGCCAGAAAACCGCTAGATTTCAGATTAAGAGTTACAATTTGTTGCGTTTAGCGAAGCTGTATAATAATTTCTTGGCTTACATACTTTTGATAAAAAATAGCATATATTGTGTCAAGTGCTTGAAAGCGTTAAATCGCGACGCTTTAATTAACAGCTTCCTTAATACGCTATCTCTAGTCTTAAATCTCCCTTCAATTTACACTCGACGAGAAATATATTATTTCAGCAAACATAATAACAACAACAACTTTATGGCCACATTATAAACACATAGCTATATAGAATACAGAAGAGATTATATATAAAATTGATCTCTAGTTTACTTATAATACGTATCAGCTAACCAGTCCATTAGAAAGCTATCGATATCACAAAGTTCTCGATCTCAAACAAGTGTAGGTAAGTATAAATGACACATAGAGTGCTTTGTCCCGAATCGCTTTTTCGGTTCATTAAGAAAAACGGAGAAAAAATTCTTTAATAAGCGTATTATAAGAAATAAATAAAATTGTGAGAGGCAGTTTTGCAAATGTTGAACCCGAAATCTATTGCAACCAATTCTTTTTTTTTCCCATAATTAACACATGTCGAAGGGAGAAAAATAAATCATACCACAAACGTGGCGAGGCTCGTCGTAAGTCTACAAAAATGAGGATTACTTTGCCAGCTGTAACGAGGATATTATTGTTGAACAAAAGAAGAAATTATGTGATGTGAACAGAGAAACATTCCGTCGTCAAGGTCTCACGACCTGTTCGCTGCGTTATTATAACGGCAGGAGATCGATCAGATTCGCCCGCGGCTGCGTTAACGATTCCGGGAAAAATTCCGCAAGTTTGTTGTATAGCTCAGTTCGCAAGTTATGTATATCACGCGCGTTCGCGCACTGTTGCGTCGTCACGCCAGTCGTCAGCTCATTCAGAATCGTGCTCGAATAGGAGGCATCCTCCAGTGAGTTATTTTGTTTCCGGAATAAGATCGATGTCAAGAGTTGAAACTATGAAGGAAAAACGCTAATTAGTGAGACGATACTACGCTTAGTGATTAGTATAATCACAATGATAAACATAAAAATAAATGAAGGCTGCGGTCAAAGTCTCACTACAAATACTTTGAAGCGTTTGGTTAACTAATTAGAAAAAAGAATTTTACAAATTGATCAATCAAAAATTGCTGTAAAGCATTTGTAGCATCGCGTTGAACGTATCCGTAGAAACATGTATGAATATACCTCTTTCGTTTGTTGCGTGTCACTGTGGTCGATAATTTCAAAGATCTTTGTTTGTAGGTACTCGAGGGCTTCTATACTATTGTTCAGAGCAAGCTCCTTAAACTTATGCTTCCTGATGATTAGCTTGCACTTTTTCAAAATCTGTTCACCTGTGGGTCGACGTAGTTCCAACTGCCAAAAGTCGTCGAGTCGCAAATTTGGAAGGCAGGATCTGCCGGGATTGCCGCCGAACAGAAAGTGAACCTAACGCCGAAGAAATTGTGAATTATTGAATCGATCGGCAAACGGACATTTATTTAAAGCAGCAATAAAAGAATACAATTATTAAATACAATTTACAATGTACCTTTCTAGTGTGATCATAAACGAGCTGGTGTGCAAATCGCGGACACGGTTCGTAATCCTGCATCTTGCTCCAGTATTTTTCACCAACGTTCTCGTTACGATATATACAAGACCATTTGCTATTCTGAATATTGTATACCCAAAAAGAATTTTGCACGTTGTCGTCCCTCTTATCTTTGTCTTTGCTCAAACCCTGAAAAATATACACACACACACACATACACACACACACACACACATATATATATATATACATATACATATATACAAATTATATTATTTATATTTAAATGATTTATATAATACAAATATAATGTACAGAGTGGTTTATTTTAATCTCTGCAGGCAAGTATTTCGAAAATGCAATTTTACCAAAAGAACATTCCAAATAAAAAAGTTGTATGATACAAGCAGGGATGTCCCCCTTTATATCATGCAACTCTTATTTACAATGTTTCTTGATAAAATATTTGTATATTTTCGGAATATTTGCCTATTAAAATTAAAATGAATAATTTATATGTTATAAACATAACTTTTATAATTTAAGATATCATTTATACAATATAATATATAAATAACATCAAATTAATTATTTATGAAGTTCAGGTTGTAAGAATTTATATAATCATGAGAACATTTTTTTTTAGTTTTATATAATAGCAAATTTCACATATTAATTAAATTGCGTCTTAAATTAATAATCTCGTTACGTGAGATACAAACCGACAGAACGTAGATTTCGCCGAGTTCGGGATCGATGGTCGCTCTCTGCGTGAATCCAGCCGCGGGAACGTGATTAGAATCCTTCGTCGTACCGAACTCGTTGTAGCTTATGTACTCGACGTGTTGCGTATCAACCTCATACGTGAAAAAATCGCTGAGATATTCCTTTCCTCTCTGACCGGCGAATATGTATAATTTTCTTGATCGCTGGAACAAGATCCTACTTTGTAAAAATCTCGCCATGTATTTGTTAATTTACTTGTTATTTTTTTCGTACACTAAACAAAGTCGAAGAAGGGAAGATATGGGATACCAACCGGGTGAAATAGCATGGAATGACCAGCGCGGGATCTGTAGATAGGCATGTCTCTCGAGCATTGTTTATCAGCGATATCACAGGCGAGTCTGACCCACGTACCGGTTGGCACGTGATAAGAATACAGTCCCGAGAAATGTGGCTCCGGTATTACGCTGTGTTCATCGGCACTACGTGAGTTAGAAAAACGATGTCAGAAAGGTATAGTA